GGGGCAAGGGGGGCAAGGGGGGCCATGGGGGCTTGGTAAAGGATTGCTTATTTATTGGGCTTCCTGTGGGGGTTTCAACGGCTAATTCCTGTGGCCAAGTAGCCAAGTAGCCAAGTAGCCATTGAAAATATCTAGGCTTTATGGCTACGTGGCTACGTGGCTACGTGGCTACGTGGCTACTAGACTCTTCCACTGTCTCTAGCTCGTCCGTTCCGTCTCACCGCTTAGACGGACGGACGAGCGAGAGACATTGCAAGGGTGTACGTGGCTACATCAGAATCAAAATGGTGTAGTTTTGTGAAGAAAGTAAGAATTATGCCTTATGAACTCATATCCAATATCATTTCTTATTGTTGGGTATTTTTCCCTAAACTGCATACAGGAGTTCAACAGGTATTAAAGTCGACAATCTTTTATTCACGTTTTTCCAAATAAAATACGGCATATTCTAAATCCCCATGCATTCTCTTATAAATGTATTGACAGGGCTGTCAACCCCCAAGATATTCAAATCTGGAGAATTGATAGGGAAGGGACATGACGTCACAGCGGAAAAAAGTGCGCGAAAAGACGTCATTCGCTTTGTAACATTAGATGTGATTGGTTTATTTCTGGCCAATCAAATTATCGCTTATAGTTACAATGGCCTGTTTGCAATAACAGTTTACGAGGAATGTTTTGATTTTGTTAGCGATGTAAAATAACACAAACAACACAAAATAATTGGAACTTTATGGTTGTGAAAGTCAAGTCTCACAAGAAATGGTCAGCTTCGGCAATTATCCGAGAGATTTGAGACTCTAATCTGGAGACCGGGAGATACGGTCCAAAATTTGGAGACTCCCGGTTTATCCGGGAGAGTTGACAGCCCTGTATTGAGCTTGACTATGGCCAAACTAGCTAAGATCATAATAGCTCTTACCTGTGGCAGCCCAGTCATAAAATGCCTTTGGTTTTTGTTTTTGTCTTTTCCTTCTCGCGAAATGTGCACTCTTCGCAAGAGTACCCATATATGGATTTGAATGACGTGTTCATAGATAAATTGCTCATAGATTTGCTTAGCAGCTAAGGATGTAATTCCGGGCTTTAGAAGTAGTATAATTGAGCAGTAAATGAAGATTTCTAGGATTCTTTTCAATCGCGTGGGTTAGTAGAGCCTAAAGGAAAATACGGCTTTCGGTCACTTGTTAATCTTGAAGGCATATACATAAATATATCGTTAAATACTACGCGTTAATAGAGCTGGTAACTTTGGCCATAAATACTTTTCGCTAAGTTTTGAATCCTTTTACTAACCGATACCCGAAGTCCAAGAAATCCTGGTCTTAACAAATAGATAATGACAGATCCCTAATTCTTGGTCGCAGGATAGAAGATACGCAGGCTCTGGGTACGAAATTGTTTCAGTGTATGCGATAAAAAGTACGCGCAACCCTAGCAAAAGGTACTGCAACGATTGTCGAGCTTAGTTCGAGTAATGACCCTATTGCTAGGGACACTAGGCTTAACCAAGACAATCGATTCCCAAGGCTGTCGGCAGCGATTCCTAGTTGTCGATAACAATTTCCAAATTAGTAATAAGACATTGTTTTCGAATAATAACAAAAGATTCAAAGCATATATCTTCAATGCACTTTTTTATTACAAGACAAACCATGCTTACTGGAAAGTCTACCGTCTGTAGCACACAAGTAGACAACAATTTCAATACTCATGACAATTAAAGCATTCTTTAGTAGCACTAATGATATCATTATAGTTAAATATAGTACTTCCAAGCTGTTCAATATTTCTAGCATGTATCTTAATCACAAAATAACAGTTGCACCAAAGAAATAGGCCATTTCACGGATCCCGTTACTCAACCTCAGCCTCGTCAGCGTGTAATTATTCTTTAGAATTTGACTACAGYCCGCAGTAATGAAAGGAATTTACACATCAACGAACAATTGAAACACTTAAAAATTTCACAGGTTGTAGGCAATTTCTAAAGGATATATTACACGCTGACGAGGCTGAGGTTGAGCCGCGGGATCTGTGAAATGGTCTATTAACAAGCATAGCAATGGCAGATACAGACCAATTTCAAGGGGGTGGCTGTTACCTAGAAAGGCGTCGCATATAGTGTCCTTTTTAGGTTTTTCAACTCAAAAGGGGGAATGACTAGTCACCCAACCCCCCTCCTCCCCTCCCCCTCCCTCCCCCAGATCTGCCTAGGAAAGTATTTACAGAATTGAAAGCTACTTTATTTTTTGTCAGATTTCTTGTCCACTTTAGACTCCTCCATGTTTTCATCCTGTGGTTTGTCAGAATGAGTAAGGGTACCCATCACATTCTGTATTGTGGCACTGCTAGGATCTACCCCAGGGAGCGTACTTAGCACACGCTGGAGAAAATCTGGGTCGGCCATTACTTGTGAGAAATCTTGATTGCTATCATCACCCTATTTTAAAATATTTCACATTATTACTAAAAAACTCTTGATATTAGCCATAATAATAACAACGGAAGAAATGAAATAATTAATGCTTTACAGTAGTCAATCAGTTCATACCTGAGTTTCAGTTTCCATAGCAACTGCCCCAGACTGTTGCGACTCACTCCTGTTCCCAGTATCTGGACGTGAATCAGTAGTAGACTCCTCATCACCTTCCTGCACGTTCTGCAAGGACAGCTGCATAGCATATTCTATTTGTTCCTCTTCGGACATTGTGGAAAAATTAACATTGGGTGTAGGGGTGTCTGTTACTGTCTCTGGGGTACCTGACATAGACATTGCCTGCTGTAACATGGCTTCTTCCTTGTCGGCAACCTGACCAGGTGCTTCAGCAGTTTCTTGACTGGCACCTGCTGTTCGCCGTGCTTCATCTTCTTGTCGCTGTCTTTGTTCTTCCATGGAGACGCGAAGAGCCTGAAACAAAATTATGCCACACAAAAATAATTACAGTAATAATAACTAATAACTATCCTACTTATATATTCATTTCTTTTTAAATAGACCTTGATAATGAAGATACTGAAGTGGAAGTAGTGATATGGAAATCAGGCAACAGAGTACTGCTACATTAGAATAAATAAAGGTGTATGGGAAATGTGAGAATATACATGGAAAACTACCTCAATTACTTATTTGATTGATGATAGTCTATAGCTCAATTTCCATGCCATGTATGTTGTCTCAATCAGCACGTAGCAACAAAATCAGTGGTAAAATTACAAATATTACATTGTAAAAAAAAGGCATTTTCCTTTTTACCAGAGCTAATTCAGGATCAGCATTAGGATCGACTCCAAATTCAAATCCAGAACCAATATCCATGGCCCCGGCACCATCTTCCCCAACAACGACAGGAGATGAAATGAGAGCATCAGAAAGAGAAGGACCAGGAGGTATAGACACAAGGCGACTCAAGTTTCCATCTTTACCATTAAGAACATTAATGAAAGCAGTTAGCCTTTCTGTATTGGCTTCCTGTTATAAAAAGAAGTTGTAGCATAAATGATTAAATAATCTGTGGAAGGGTACCTGTGGAAAATAGACATAGGTAACCCAAACACCAAAATTTTAAGTTTTAATCAATGGTATCTTCCCATTTTCTCCTTGTGGGGAGGTGGGATAATTAGCTGTCACAGACAACTACATCTACCTTCTCAAGCATTTCTGGAAAATAAAGAAATGATGTGCAAGGGATTGATACATGATCTGAAATGATAAGCTACAGTATAATCCCTAAGGCCAAACAAAAAAATAAGTGGGTTTCCTGTTGCACGACCGACCCTAATTTTCTTGTCGACCCCAATATTTTTTTCATTCCCAAATGCACCAAAAGGTTCCCAATAAGCTTGTTTCCACTGTTGTATCAGTAAAAAAAAAAAGAAAAGAAAAAAAAGGAAAAAAATCCAACCTATTGACCCCAATTATTTTTCTCATGCAACAGGAAACGCACTTATGTTTTTGTTTGGCCTAAGCAAAAAGGTCTAATGGACAAATGAATATCTACCTCTTCTCCAAAATTTATAATGTCAACATTAACTTTTTCTTTTTTCAGTTTTTTCGCTAACTTAACAATCTGTAAAAGAAGCAAAGACAAAATCAGAACTCTATAAAAGGTGCTTTTTGAAATGTGGGATCCCTGTGGTACAAACCACAGATAACCCATAAATTAAAGAAAATAACTTACTTCTTTTTCTTCTGATTCAATTGGACTGCCAACGAAAACAACAATCCTCATTTTGTGGTTCTTTCCTTGTCTGTGCTTTAGTACCAACTGCAAATTTCAAAAACCATATTAAACAAATGAAATTTTAAGAAATTCAATATGGGTAAGTGAATGTGGAACAAGTAAAAGGGAAATAAACAGAAAGACAGAATGTCAGACTGTCTCAAGCAGTTTTCACATGACTGTGGGAAACTCAAGGCACGAACACAGTCAAGACACGGCAAGGCATACGCCAAACCAATCACATTGTACGAGAATTTACTCTTCATCCAATCAAATGTCCGAAGCAAGGCTGAGAACACGGTGCGGACATGGCCATGCCAATGTCAAGGCACTGTCCGACCAATCACATTGTGCGAGAAAAAAATCCCCCAATCAAAAGTTTAGAAAACATCACGGTCGCGGCAAGACACGCATACGGCACCGACCTTTTCACAGTCATACGAAAACTGCTCTAACCAACACTAACTGTCAGTCTGACTGACTGATAGAGACTGACTTACTGGATGGTCAGACAGACAGACAGATAAACAGACTGAAATCAACTAGATTCAACACAAAGAACTTGATAAGAATGAACTAGGCTTACATGAGCTTTTTTAACTCCCGTTAGAAAATGCACATCTCCTTTAGGTTGAACCTTGTGTAAGGATGTAAGTACTTTGCCGACATCTGATGTTAATGTTACCAGTACTTCCAGGCTAAAAACATATTGACATTAATATCATTATATTGAAACTCACATTTATCACACAGTTTTAGCATTGTGTGAAAGGGGTTTAGATGGCAGTATGATAGCAAAGTCTGTGATATTGATGTGCTAACCAGAACTCTATTTACTACTGAAACAAAGAGTTATCTTGTTTAAGGTGGGCAAATTTGAATGAGAAAAGATTCCTGATGTCAATGTTTGTAAACAGTGAATATCACTCTACAATCTCTCTCCCACAGAGGAATTGAATATTCGTTATAATGTACAAACTTATGAAGATTTCATTGTTCCTGCCATCCAACATGGCCACCATTATATTATTATAAAATTTCAAACCCTCTGTAAGTGAAGCTACAGTAGCCAAATCCAATCCCAACACCAGAAATCACAAAAAAAACACATTCAAATTATAACAAAACAATTTTTACAAATTTATCAACTGAATCCACCCGGCCTAAGAAAAAAAAATTATCTGAAGTTTGAACACCAACTCGATATTAGCTTAGCCAGTTCCCACCAAAATGGAAAGTAAATACTTTACCTGGCAAGTGTCATTAGTCCTATATTATTTTCAGGGTTTTGTCTAGTCTTTGAGTGACATATAAGACTAACAGCATCCTGCTGAGCTTGAATTCTAGTCGGCAAAAAGTCGCCATTCCTTGTCCACTCGCTGTTATCCACGCTACAAGAAAGCCCAATATTAACCTCAAATAACACTCATAAAACATTAAAAACTTGATGAGAACATACACCAAATATACCTACCACACTACAGTTGATTCTAATACCATTTTATTTGGATATTTTGTTTAAAAAAGCCCAAAAAAGAATGAAATTTTTGGATGTAGTTGACGTCGTTTTTCTCAGGCAATGACTAAAGGAAAATTGACGCATGCTCCCTGAGGTAACCGCTTGGTTGATGTGCGCCAGCGATAGTTTATTTTGCTTTGTTGTCAGTAGTTTCTGTTTGACGTTGAGTTCTATTTTTTTATGTCTTCCAAAATTGAAGGCCAAGCAAATGTCGAGGCGTCCATGAACGCGAACCTCATGGCCACAGACAGGGTCCTCGAAAAAATTGGTGATCACTACAATAATCCCGAAATGGCTGATCGAATTCTGGTTGTGAAGGTCAGACCTCAGGGATGGGAGATGCAAGAGGCAGCTAAACTAGCAAGAAATTATATCAACAAAGACAAAGGGAAGTCAGAAAAGATGTCTAATATAGAAAGCACGAACGAGTCTAAAACTTCGACCAGAAAAAATGACGAGAAGTCACTAAGTAAAGTCTCTAAGGACGTTTTAAGTGAGCCAGTCTCCGGAGCAATAGCATCTGCAAGTATTGTCTTGAGTGATAGTGATGTAGACGTTGAAATAGTGACTTCAGCGTCTGATTCAAGTTATTCACCTGTACAAGAAGTATATAACTCGAAAGCTGGTACCAAAAGGAAGAAAAATAATTCCGAGGATAGTATTGTTATTCCAGAAGAAATACTATTGGATAAGGACTCTAAATGTCCAATAGATTCAAGCTGTGAACAAGGGTCTGATTTACCTAATCCTTCAGAGGTATCTAAAACAGAGGATGTAGAACTAAAGACAGAAAATCCTGTCGAGGAATCAGACAGGGAAATAATTAGTCAGGCGGACAAGAAGATCTGTGTAGACATTGAAGAATTTCTTCCTATTTACACCTTTGCTACGCAGCAAGATGTGGATTCCTGTGTTGTTTGTGAACATGAGATTTATGTGCACAGTTTTTGGTTGGCTCTTAATAGCCCATACTTTAGAGGACTATTCTTTAGTTCTGGGATGAAAGAAACAAAAGATAAAAAGGTATCCAGGGAGTAACTTTGCATCCTTATTAATCCCCATCCCTTCTAATCCTAATCTCCTTATTACCTGTATGAAGGTGTGGCATGGTGTATGTACCCTTCTGAGCCTACCCCCATGCCTTTGAAATTCCAATATCCCCTCTCCCCATTAGCTCTGGGGTGCAGGGGCAGATTCAGGAACTTTTAACTGGTGGTGACCAAACTATTTCAGGGTATCTTGTGTCAATACCACAGGAAGCCCATACAAGGTGGGAAAATAGTAGGGAAAATGGTGGGGAAAATGGTGTTTCAAATGGACAAATTGTCAAAAATCAAATTTAAGAGCTTCAACTAATGCATGAAGTTAAGGTTTATTCAGATAAATATTTTCAGTCATAACCATATTTTTATTTTTGCAAGGGGGARGAGGGTAGGGGCCAGGCTATTCCATGCGGTAGTAATGAATTCCCTCTTGGTCTACTCCTTAGGAATTTCATTTCCTCTGCAGATGTTTTCTGGAACTACAAACTCTTACCATAGTTTGTTCATATCTTTAGGTCGTGATGAATGTCAGTGAATCTATGTCGTCCATGTTTCTGGTGTTGATAGAATCTCTTTATCGACCTGAGGTGGTGTCTAACAAGAGTGTTGATGAACTTCTTATTCTCATGAGACTTGCGCATGTTTATGACACAGAAAGCACTCTCAAAGCATGTGAAAGGTACCTGTCTGTATACCATTGCAAATGATAGAAATAAACTATACTTTGCATTTAGCAACACTGACAATAGACCTCTTCACCTTGGGTGTAATGTTTTCCCATTTTAGACCATGTGTCATTCTCTTGAGAATAAGAGTCTTTGTTCGAGTATGTAGTATCTATATTTGTATATTATTACAACTGTTAAACAAAGAAATAATACTCAAAGGAATGACATATGGTCTGAAGTAGGCAAAACATTATGCCAAAACTAAAGAGTTATATTTTCAATGCACCCATTTTCTTTTTAGTTCCCCCCCCCCCCCCCCATCAACTCTACCAACCCTAAAAATTATCATCCTGTGTCTCTGCTTCAGTATTTTAATGATATTTATTAACATTTCTTTAATTAATTGACATTCTTTTCTTGCATAGGCTACTTGAATCTGCTGATTTATCTATCGAAATCTGTGATAGTGCTCTAAATATGCGAGAGCATGAAAGGTCAGTAGGTATATTTTTTCATATGTAAAACTGTGTCAACAAATTGAAAACTGTTTAATATTTAATTGTTTCAGATTGCCAGAGATGGATGACTTCAATAAGAGGTGCCAGCGTTTTCTCGTAGATTCATTTAGCCCATTAGATTACCAGTGGACCAGAGAGGAATTTTTTTCTCTTAGTGCAAAAGCTCTACAATCAGGTATTGGTAATAATTCTTCTCTAAATAGTGATAACAGTGATTATAGTGACGATTGATGGATGATAATAATGGATGAAAAATATTAATGATTTCAATGATGATGATGATGAGAATAAATGATGCTGATGATGATTAATGATTAATGATGATGAAAAATGATGATGACATTTAGCAGTAAACCCTAGCCTTATCTCCAAAGAGTTTTTTTGACAATTTTTGTCCAAAATTGAAGGTTTTCTGTATTTATTTTTTCATTTTCATCAGTTCTCAGCAGTGACGAACTCTGTGTTTCCATGGAGAATACAGTTTTCCTGGCATTAATGAGGTGGGCAGAAGTAAATGATACCTATGGAGATGCCCTGGAATCTTTATTAGAGCTAGTGAGGTTCAAGGCCATGACTATTAACTATTTACATGACATTGTGACAAGTAAACATCCCATTGCTGCAACTGTTGCCAAGTTTCCACAGATGTTTGAGGAAGCAGTGTTTTTCCGTGCATTTTCAAAGGTTTGTCTTTGAATTGACTTAGAATGAATGTTCTAAAACTCATGAATATTTAATGAGGAGAAAACAAAGCAAATCACTACTGTGACGGTGGTTTTGAAATGTGTTCTTAATTTGCATTAAATTTCGTAAACTTTTTCTTTGATTTTCTCCAAGAAATATTCATGAGTTTGAGAAGTAATTTGAAACATGTGAGAGAGTCCTTCCTTCAACAGCTGCTCCTCGTTTTTTTAACTCACTTTTCAGTGTTTGGAAATCGAAGGAAGAACTCTCTCGCATGTTTGAAATATTACTTATACATGTAGGACCTGTTACGTGAAGACAGGAACCTCAGTGAATAATGACATACATTGTCATAGAATAGGATGATTTTATTATCATGCATCTATCATAATCATGACATCTTTGTCAACATGTTTTCTTGCAGGAGAGGCAAGCAGAGGAAGGAGACCTAGTAAGCCGGAAAGAATTTGAAGAACCAATTTTATTCAACTGGCATGTTGAAAACTATGATGATTCGGACTTCGAAAAAAGAAAGAAAATAGTCAAGTCTCCTCACTTCTGGGTTAGCGGTTATGAAATGTGAGTAAACCTTAAATTCCAGTCTCTTATTTGAGGATTATACTAAATCTGTAAATATTGGTACAAAATGGGGAAAATGCTATTAAGCCCAAACTTCAACTCAAGTTCTGTATACATATTCAGAATAAATCTTTATTATTATCAAAATGGTGTTTCAGGTAGAAGCTGTGGCATTGTCATAGAATTGTACTGTCGTGTGTGTCACAGAATCATACAGTTGTGTAATAATAATAATAATAATAATAATAATAGTTTATTTATCCACATAACGCCTAGGACCATTTCACATACTCGTTTAAAATGCGCACGTGCACTAATCTATTAAGAAATAACCTAAATTAAAGTGATATAAAATATAATATATATATGTATATATGCAATAAATATAAAATATGAAATGATAAATATCTATTTACAATGGGAAGTTAATAAAGGAAATAAGAAAAAAWAWAWAWAWATATCCAATATATGATAAATAAAAATTTATCTAACGATATATATACACAAATATTAGTCACAAATATTAAACAGAACCAGAGTTATGTTATGCTTATGTTAAATAATGATGCTATTTTTATCCAAATTAAAGAAACTAAAAAATATTCCATTCATTTTGTCCAGGTTTCTAGAATTAAAGTTAAGGTCAACTGGCTTCCAAGGTCTCTACCTAACCATCTGCACAAGACAGTTCCTCCATCACTCCAAGGGTTTTGTCAAGCTCAAATACTCTCTCTCCTCTAATTTCCTCAAGGCTACCCATGTGTTTAATGAGATCGATGTGTTTGACAAAGAGGGTTCAGGCTGGGGCTATGAGGAGTTTTTCCCTCTTGTTTGGTATGAATTTAAGGAGCAGTTGAAAAGAACTCCTCTTATAATAACAGCACAGGTCAGACTCATTGAATAAATACAGTACCATTATTTAAATGGTTTTAGAGGTAGTGCCATGCTTTCCTAAATTTAAAAGCCCCACAATTATTGCATTTCACACAACTTCTTATGCACTAGTCTTTCTTTAAAGAAAAGGTTGCACCGTAGCTTGAGGTTAAGGTGATAGTTAAGAGAGGGCTAGTGCAAGCCAGGCCTCTTAAAAATTTTATTTTATTTTCAGATAAAAATAATTTAAAGTGTTTGCATTGGATGTAAATGTTTGAGATATTTATTTAAAAAATAACTTGTAAAAAAGAGTTCACCATGTCACTGAAATGTGACTTGGAAAGAAATTAACACATAGTAGTCCTCATGAGTCAAAACTCAAAAATTAGTTTATTTATCACAAAAGTTACATAAGGTACTATCATACAATGCATTGAAAAGTATGTACACACAGAGAAATGTATTTTTTTTGAAACATTTTCTTTAGGTTAACATTGCTTGCTTACAACTGATTTCAGCCTTAACTACAGGTGTATCGATGACAGTTTTCAACTACAATGTCTAGAACACCATGCCCTTTCACACCTGTGTGTTTTCAAAACAAATCAGGTACATTGGCTAGTTGCCATGTCAACAATTCGGAAGTGTTTTTCCACAGATCTAAATTTTCTATGAGTGTCACTCAGATTGTTTGTACTGACAAAAATTTTGGACACCCTTTTCTTACTATTTTCAGCTCTTACTATTAAATTTACAGATGACTCATTTAATGTAAATTATTTATTGGAATTATTTAACAGTATCTAAAGAAGCTGTGTGTTTTTGCTTCTCAAATTCAAGAAATGTATAAATATATAATAAAATTATCAAAAGTATTAGAAATATCTAGCTAGCAGATTGGTCCTATTCTTCATGACATGCTGACTCTTTCAAGAGTGTAAATAAGTTAAAAATTAATCTAAATCAAAAAATATGATAATAAAATAAAGTTTAAAACAAGTCATTAAAGTATTTACCAACCTATGAAATATCTTACAAGTTAGTGAGGTGCTTTGGACCATGTTATGACCAGATCTGCCCCTTTGGTCGATAAGAATAAACCCATCTGTTTGGAGGAAGTAAAGGCTCCTGAGTAGAGGCCAAAACATGTAAAGGTGTCCTATATTGTCCTTTAACAGGATTGAACCATTTTGTTGAAGTGGTGGACAGCGGAGCAGTACCAGGCTTTGCTTCAGGGTGGTTTTGTGGGTATCTTCTCAGAGTTGCAGCATCCGCTGTTGTACCTCTGTATGACATCATGTACTGTGATTTAAGATCACTATCCATGCACCACGTTATCATATTATTAGAATAATGCTGGGATCTCTGGGACAGCTTCCTTTTTCCTAGTCCCTGGTGGACAAACGATTGAACATTTTATATAAGCTACTCAAAAAATTAGTTGCATGGATTTTTATCATAAAAACAACTTTATTCAAAAAGGTCAAAATTGTTATTAACACAATGAACCGTTTTTTAGGATAGCCTTTATCTTTTTTTTTTTCTCTTCTTTTTGCAACTAGCTTCAGATTTTATCCTAATTAATAGCTTTTACATTTTTCCCCTTTCCCTCTTCATTTCCATCTTTATTCAAAGCTTTTTCCTACATATTAAGCCATCAATGTAGCGCCATTAACACTGACACGATTTTCAATATCTAATCAAAAGCTTCATCAAATAAAACTTCAACTTCCGCAATAGATACTCAATAATTTGTCGAACTTACATTTCCAAAGTAAACTCCATGGTCTTGAAGGTCATGTCTGTTGTCATGTTGTGAAAACGAGAATGTTTTGTATGGAGACTGAAATTAAAGTAAAAGAAACGATAATAACAGTTAATTAAGTAAATGGAAAGTTAAATTAAAGAGAAACAGCTGGGCGGTAAGAGGGGGAAAAAATGGAAAGTAATGATATAAAAGGAACACCGAAAGTGAAGCAATCTATTCTCTCGTTTGGAAAAAAAAAAAAGCACAAAAAAATTAAAAGTGTGGAAGAGAAACTTGAGATATACAGAACATAGAATGTTTAATATTACCTCTTCTTTTTGTCTAAACACTGTTGGAGGAGAAGAAATTCTGGACTCTCTTGGTTTAGCGTCATCAAACCTTTTGGGCCATCCACGCGTTTGGAACTTTGGAACAAACAAATTTGGAGCATTTTATGAAAATTTCATTTCCATTAGAAGAAAAAGGTAAAGATACAATTATTGTGAATCCGATAACTAATTTCTGGCTCCAGTACAGAGCCAAGTGTAAACATGAAACGGTTTTTAATTGCTTTCCGGAGGTTCATTTTATCAGGATCTGTCAGCTGTTTGATTGAATTTCACAGTGTGGGTCAAAAATATTTCATTTGCGGGGAATTTAGTTTTCCGATTTTACAGCTGTAAGTGACTTGTTCTTTTTGCGGAGATGAGGCAGTAAAAAGGATTCAAATTCGTTCAAAAAACGTCGTAAATCTACCAGGAATTTATTGTATTTCCATGATATTTAGTGTTGGGAGATTTTGGAATTCTTCCATATTCACCGTAAGTTCGCATTAAAGTTCGCATAAAAGAAACAGCTCAACCTTTTTTCATAGATAGTAAAAATTTTAATATCATAAAAATTGTAGTATATAGTCAAGATACGATCCCACGAATAAGGAACTTAGGAAGCGTGTTTTAGTAAAGGTCAATTTTCCGAATGATACAAGAGTTTTTAAAACTACAAACAAAAAATAAAGTATCAATCTGAACCGCAATTTTCCTGGTAAAGTAACTTACCCAGATGCCATCTTTTTCTCTTGACGGTACAAATCGTCTTCCTTTAGCCATCTCGATCCTCTGATTTCTTCACAAAAGCATGATTGTAGATTTTGACTTTAATCAATGATTTTCCACAGTGAAGCAACCACAAATACAAGAATGAATACCAGGTTTGCATTGTTGTCAAGCACGCTCCTTGGTTACTACGCCCGCTGAACATCGAGACTGCTGGCCCAATCCCAATCTAAAAAGGCTTCAGTGACGACATAATTACTCCTGTGGGGGGAGGGAAGGAGAGAGTAAACAAAACTAATTTAAAATTGTGAGCCTATTTTGCAAATACCAAAGAAAATTCTTCCAAGGATTTTGTCTACGACTTTAGATAAAAGTATGATCACTATTGCGTTGGGACGAATTTCTTGTGAATGAACAAAATTCTATAAACTCGATTAGTATCTCACCCCTCCCGTGGAGGAGAAAAGTTTGACAAATTACTGGGCCGACAGCGTTTGAGAATAATGAGATCAATAGACGATGAGAAAGATAATGGCGTTAGAAAATGTTGGTCCAGCTTTGAGAGGAGTTTTAGCTCGAATAAATGAAGCAGTAGAGAAACGACCTGAGGTAAAGAATTCTCTTTTAGGACCGAAGTTTAAATCCCGGGTGTAAATCCAGAGCTACGAACTAGCGTGTGAATATTTGTACAATTATTACTGCACTACGGTTGCAAAGTGATTCATGATATCTGGCTTGTAATCTTACAGAATCTTCCAAAAGTGGTACCAAGATTGGTGGCTGTGAGCAAGACAAAACCAGTTGAATACATATTAGAGGCATATGAACATGGACAGAGAAATTTTGGGGAAAATTACGTGAGTGAATCTAGTGTGAAAGACAAGACTCTTGTACATATTTGTACATTTGTTTTGTTCTGAGCTTGCATTTGCTTTCTCAATRCCTGTCGTCATAACTAAACATTAAATGTCCATTTTGTGTAACTAGATCTTTCTTTTTTTATTGCGCTTTTAGGTACAAGAATTAGCGAAAAAAGCAAGTGACCCCAGAGTGAGTTTTTATTGCTCATAAAAATGTAAAATATTGCGTAACCAAACCTGAACTGGGTTGCCTGGGGTAAAAAAAACGTCAAAATCGTGCAACAGTACCTATGGATCTTCGTAGCAAGTCACCATAGCATTACTTGAAAATATGTTACAAACATAATTGACAGGGTTGGTAGGGCTATGCATCACGTTCATAAATTGATGTTTGCCCATGTTAATTTTTGTTGGTTGCTGAAGACMAAAGCACAGTAAAGGGTTAGATTAATTGCCAGTTGAAAAGCAAACATTATTAGAATAAAGATACCTTAATAATTATTGGAGTGCTCAAATTTTGATTCAGCTACTCAAAGCAGTATTCTTTGCTGGTTGGTAGGGCTAACCAGTGGAAAATATGGCTTTAAAACTTTCCAGTTCATCAGATAAATAATAAAGTTGGTGATGTTAGTGAGACTTTTCATTTACTGGTTACTTGTTGATMAGTCTGATGTTGCCAGGCATTATGTCCAGTCATTGAGCAGCCATTGCCTTAAGCCCTGATGATGATAATGATGATGAGTCAAAGACTTAACAACTTGCATTGTTTTACCATTTTTATAGCAGATAATATTTAATATTWTTCTTGAATATTAGTTACATCAGCTTAGTGATCTCAAGTGGCATTTCATTGGACAYCTACAAAGAAATAAATGCAATAATCTAACAGGTATAACAGTGTTCTGGGATCATTATTATTTAACTAATATATTGTTTTGGAGAGCTCACTGAAACTTATGTTTACAAAGCAGTAGGTAATCAARGATTTTAAAAGGGGGGCTTCAAATTAAAATGGCCTTCGTGCCCTGGGGGTACTCTTGCCCGTTTAGGGTAGGGATGTGCCGYTGAGCCCACTGAACCCTGACCCTGTTCCAGAGTAAAATYRCTGAAATTCATACCCTGTYCCAGAKCAAGATYGCTGAAAATCATAACCTATTCCGGTATTGTGAAAATGGATACCCTGTTCCAGAGAGGAGAGAGCATGATTTCATATACCCTGTCCCAGAGCGAGCGCRATTTTATATACCCTGTTCCAGAGTAGAATCACTGAAAACCATACCCTGTTTGGCARCACGTACTCGTATAGTAAATATACRGRACTACCCCCAGGCTCTGTGCAGATAAAGCAGGCGTCATGCAAGAGAATRATTATTCGTTATTTTTTATAGCAATTCCAAACTTATTTATGGTGGAAACAATAAACTCTACACAACTTGCTACAGCACTAAACAAGTCATGGGGGAGAACTGACAATAAAGAACCATTAAAAGTGATGGTTGAAGTGAACACGAGTAATGAAAAAAGTAAGTTTTTTATAGTAATATTTTGTCAACTATATTTTTATATAGTGTTATTTTGTCTGTGGTATGGAGGGGAACTCTAAAGATGAAATGCGTATACATGTAAATGGCACTTTGCCCCACCCCCAGCATGACCAACACCTCGCTATATCTCTTCCGAAAGAAATAGGAAAATAGTGAAAATGTTATGGTAAAAATCATAGGTTACATAAAACTGTTTCTCAACCTCACCCTATAGGCTGGTCCACAAATACATTATCTAGGAAATTCCATAAATTAAGCTACCTTTAGAGATTATTCAATTTTTTTCTGGGAGGGGAGGGAGGGGCAATGGGATTCTCTGGGTACCGGTAACCCCTAAAAAARTTCTGCCACCCCTCTCCTTTGTTCCATAAAAAATTTTCCCTCCCTTGTTTCCTGCTTTGTTTTTTTGAATGTGTGGTGTTTTTTTTTTCATTTTCAGGTAAAATGGGTTGTGGCAGTGACGACTGCTGCAGCATAGTAAACTTCATTATTCAAAATTGTCCCAATCTAAAATTCATAGGATTAATGACTATWGGTCAATATAACTATGACTGGGGAAAACATGGACCAAATCCTGATTTCATGGTAAATGTGTATGGATTGTCTTTTACTGATATTTATTGATATATTTGTATAATCTAGTTCAATCAATAATGCAAAAATTATCTTGGGAAAYTGGACRGACTCACTYGAGTGAGAAATTATTAATTCCATTKACTTCAATTTTAAGAATTTAAATATACTTTTTCACCCTTAATGGCAGGCATCTTCATTTCTATTGTTTAAWAAAAKACATTRTGGCATGCTGAGGAGGAAGCATAAGAAAAATTATAAACTGCACACTTTTTCAATAACTTTATTTCTAAAATACTTTTAATGACAAGCACATCCAAAAAGCAATTGAATTTGGAATAATATTTAAAACACAAAGACTTTAAATTATTTGTAAATTTATCATAAATTTTCTTCATTTGCCCCCTTGATATTCCCRTAATTCGAGATGGCTGCCAAATGAGTAAAAAGGTCTATTTTTGAGAGATAAAGCTATTCTGGTGGTCCGAGAAGGATATGGAATAACTTACTTTTAATGAGATGGGGAAGTGMCGTTTCCTTTTAAAAAATGGTGAAATGATTTCTCCTAAATTATAGTGGTCAAGGATATCTTTATAGACTTTTTATATTTACTGAATAAATCTTTTAATTTTGAATATAGTGTTTAATGAGATGCCAAGAAAATGTCTGTGAGAAACTAAACATGCCTCAAGATCAAGTGGAATTAAGTATGGGAATGTCTTCTGACTTTGACAAAGCAGTAAGTGAATTGCTTTTCATTCCCCAAGATTATATTCCTAAAAGTTTCTCTGAATTTTGTTCAATTTTGTTTTGTTAAAGTTCTGAGTATTGTTGTGTTAGCTTTGTAATATGCTTATACATAACAAATTGGCCACACTGTTATGGCATACTTGCCGTCATGGGAAAAAAAATTAATTAATTAAAAATATATATATTTTGTGCTCATGATTGCTAAACCAGAATATCAAAAATGGCTATTTAACCATTTGGGACTTCTGAATATTACACTACTTTCTCATATGAACACACTCAGAGTTTAATTTTATTTTTCTTTCCTCAGATACTAATGGGTAGTACAAACGTCCGTGTTGGCAGTACCATATTTGGTGAAAGAGATCCAACAACGAAAAAGGGATCAACTGAATCTGAAGAGAAAACCGCTGCAAACAAAGATAATAAATCAGAGCCTGAAAAAGATGAAAAACCTGAACTCTCGTCAAACTTGAAAAAACTTGCTTTAGCATAACACCATAAAATTATAAAATTTGATTGTGTAGTTCTAGTACCCCTCCCCACCCCCACCCATTAAAGAACTTCGAATATCCAAGGGGTAGGGGGGCCAGAAAAAAACAACAAAATTACAGAGTTTTATGGAAGAAAATTGGAATTGTTGGGGGAAGAGGGGTATAGATAATTTCTGGAGCTAAATGTTATACATCAAAACTGTAAATAAATATGTTAAGGCGTAGAATAAATTTTCGCCACTATTGATACAAGGTCCAAATTCTCTTACTTTTGCTGTAAAGTCGACATGCTGAATAACTTAATCAGAAACCAGAATATTATTCAACTTCTTATACTTTTAACAGGAATTTTATACAAATTATTACATTACGAATTCAATTTTTGAACTTCAACTATTTCAAACGAAAAACCCCTTTTCACTTTAAAAAAAATCCCATTTGAGTTTTAGGAGAATATCCCCAAAACGTTTGCAAAATGCTTTATTTCTAATCTAAATATAGCAAAAATCTTGACAAAAAGTTAATTAGACAAAATTTTCAATGCAGGAAACGAAAATTAAGGATTTTGCATAAAATATAAAATGTATACTTGTTCTTGTAATTAATATTCTATTTTCTTTAATTCGTTGTAAATTCGCTCATAGTGCGCTGTTTTCCCCGTAAAATCCCCGATCTCCCCCGCTACGATTGGTCATTCCTTATTGATTATTTACGAATGACGTCGTGTATCTTAATTAGGGGATTCCCGGAAGTTCTTTTCCAAGAAATATCGATTCCCTCCCAGAATTTGCTTACTTTAAAGCGTTCGCCGTCTTAGGAATAATGTATATGTGAACTGGCTTTCATTTTTTGTAGCTTAAGAGATACACTAGATCAAGAAGCACTAGTTCAAAGRATTATAAAGCAAGAAACGTTTTAAATCTACCAAATTTTAGCAGGAAACTATAAACGATCACTGTCTCGAGACAGACACAACAATTGGTAAGTTTGAAATCGAAACTTCATTCACTGTTTTGAATAAACCTTCTTAGATTATATAGAGACATGGAATTTAGTGTTAAGATATATAAAGACTTTGAATTTATTATAAATTAATTCTATGAGTCATTTTAATCGTGAATTTTCTAAAAAAAACTTCAAAATATCCTTTTCTACGGTTTGAGGAAAAATTTGCTTCGTTAAATTTATTGTTAGAAACAAATGTTAAAGCCAACCAAATTAAAAGTACCATATGATACTTTCAAGAACGATATCTACGTTATTTTACATAAAAAAGACACATATATAGACGGATTATTGCGAAGGAGTAMATTTTTTCAGTATGTTAATCACGTCCCGGGTACCAGGTGTAGCGTTGCGTGACATATTTATAAACATTTTTAAAAACCCAACTTTATCTTTTTTTGAATCATTTTAGCCACGGCTGGTTGTGAAAACTACTCTGTCTTACACTCTAGCTTTTTTCCATGAATCTCTCAATCTGTACTATATTAAATATAGTTTTTGTGCCCAAACCGTTATCGAACTCATATTTATCTAACTTCCGGTTGAGAAGGTAAAATCCCCTAAAACCTTTCCCGACTTAGCGGAACACCGGCAGCCCAAACAAGGTTCCTGCGTATGGTTTATAAGGGAATGTATGGGGGTTATGATGAAGATATGGCAATAAAATGTTTCACTCACAATTCATATCATCATCGTAAAGGCCTTTAGTTCCATCTAATACTATCAGCATGGTCGCCTCGTCAAACCATCATCAACAAAGGCTTCAGTTAAATAACACATAGCCTTATTCAAAGGTGAAGAGARAAAAAAGGGAACTGCAGACTTAGTGTGTAGAGGGGCTTGTTTTTGAAGGCAACATTCTAATTAGATATTATTCTTTCAGTTTAGGTATGAGAGGTGCTGGGCGCAGGGGCCCTGGACTCGGATGCTTCAGTGGATTTGATACAGGAGGAGGAAGCTGGGGAGATGGAGGAGGAGGAGGAGGTGCAAGGAGAGGAGGAGGAGGAACAAGAGGAAGAGGAGGAAGAGGAGGAAGAGGAGGAAGAGGAGGAGGAGCACGAGGAAGAGGAAGATCTCAAGGCAGGGCAGGAAGAACGGACGGGGCTGATAGCAGAGCCGACGTGAGATTCGGCTTCCATAGCTTACAGTCGATGTTAGTAAAAGATCCAGATGAGCTTGTGCTGGACATGACAAGTGAACGTTGCATGCCCGCGACAGAAGCTCTTCTTGAACAGCTTGAAATGAGAGATGATCTAATCGTGCTGGTTTTCAAGGTTTTAGCTCGTGCCTGCGAGTGTGGTACAACTCTTTCAGGTTTACAAAGACTGTTGAGCGCTCTTCCTCGATCCATTTATTTCACCCTTCATTTGTCAACTTATATCAATCGACTTCCTTTTTCAAGTACAAGAGACAGTTACCAACTTGAAATTGAGCTGAAAGCAATTATCAAACTTCTGGCAGAAATGCTTAGGAGAATGCCAAATTCTTTCGCAGAGCTCCCAATTCCACAGCTTTCTTTCGCTATTAATGCTCTTGTGGACTGCGGTCGAATTGCTAACAATGACATACAATCATCAGTAGCAGAGTTATTAACGTTGAAAGATGAAATGGCGGAGAAAGTAAAGATGCAAGCTGAAGATGCCAGGCGACCAAGACGACGAAACGCTGGTGCAGAAGGTAGATACTTGATAATACTTCAATAACTCACAGATCGAACCCTGAAACAACCTCTGGGCTGATCTAAGTTAGGGCATGGCTAACTCACAGATCGAACCCTGAAACACCTCTGGGCTGATCTAAGTTAGGGCATGGCTAACTCACAGATCGAACCCTGAAACAACCTCTGGGCTGATCTAAGTTAGGGCATGGCTAACTCACAGATAATTGACTTTTCTCTTTGTGCAAATTATTTTCTTAAGTTTATAGCGTTTCAAACTTTCCCCATCAACTCTCAGCAACACCCAAATGGGCGTCCAAAAGCCTTCAACATGCTGGGACCATCGATGTTAGAGTGTCGTTGGCCAACATCGTAAGGCACTTTTGCACCTTAAGTTTAATGAATTTTGTCTCGTTTCGTTTTTAAAGCTGCTCTATTCGATGACGAGACTCCACCTGATGATTTCCGTGAAATGAGCGTCGTTCCCGAGATACGTGACGTCCACGTTCAAGRGTCTATTTTTCTTCGACGAAATAAGATAGATGGCAGCTACAACGACCCTGAACACTACCTAGACGTCCAGTTTCGACTGCTACGAGAAGATTTTGTACGCCCCCTTCGAGATGGTATTCACAAGATGTTAGAGAGAATGGGCTGTGCAAAGATGGGACCCTTGCAGGTGAATGAAGTACTTCAMACGAGTGACTGTACGTGCCTGCCCGTCATGTTGGATGAATTCAAAGAACTAAGATTTGTTTTGTTGTGTCATCCAACATGGCCGCCATGGGCTTTCTATGTCATTGTATCACAGGAATGAAAAGATCGGATCTGAGAAAAGAAATAGTCTTTGAAGACATATAAACAAACTTTCTATTTCTTGTGATCCGCCATTTCGTGACGTCACATTGCACACGACGACTTTCTATTGTTGTGACTTCACATTGCTAATAATATACTTTGTATTTCTTGTGACATCAAGGACATTCGGATGTACAATGGAGTGAAGATTCTTTTCCCGTTATTCACGAGTAAAGGTCTGACTCACAAAATCAGCTTTGACGTGTCCAAGATGAAGCGAGTCCGATGGGAAAACAGCAAGAGGTTGATCTACGGCTCGCTGCTTTGCTTGTCTAAGGACAAATTCGATACCTTTATTCTTGCAACTGTAGAAAACCGAAACATCAAAGAACTTCAAGAAGTAAGTAAACAGATTTTAAGTAAGCAGTTTTTATGTGAGTAGRRGAGCAACGATATATACAGTCAATTCAAAAAACGTTGTCGTCGACCGGCTCAAGCCTACGCGACTGGACCGAAAGAAATATGGGTAAAATTCACTGAMGCGGTTAAATATTCGTTCTGAATTAATTGTTCCCGCTAGTAATAAGATAATAATGGCGAGAAACAATTCAATCTGCCAAATGCATGTCTTTGGGTTTAGGGAAAGAAAAATAAAGTAGATATGATTCTGTTCACGATTCCGAAAATATGAAGGCATTAAAAAAACGTCTTCTTCAACACTTCCCGCTCGCCTACGAAGGTTCGTGCTGTAAACCAGGCATAACTAGTCAGATAAAATTATGGAGTCAACTCGGCTTCAATGATTACTACCCAGAGTTCCTTTCGGTCCAGTCGCGTAGGCTTGAGTTGGTCGACGACAACGTTTTTTGAATTGACTGTATCGTAATGCTGGTTACGATACGTCGGTTGCATTCTTTTAAAGCTTTTTATTCTGGGCGTAATGTTTTCCCATTTTAGACCACGTTTMATTTYCTAGAATATCATTTCTTTGACACACGAATAAAGATACAATTCGACCAAAGAATGGTGGGCCGTGCCCACACTAATGCGAAACGCTCCCACGGTTTCCTTAACTCTGAAAACGTATCTAAAGGTTCGAGMCCATACTAGCGTTCCGAGGTTTAGGAAAAAACTGGCTTGACTTGCATTGCAGTGGATTTTGAGGCTTTTTTATGTGGTTGAAAATATATAGCTGCCATCTTGGAAATAGGTCCAGTGGTTGCATGAATAGTTGATCGGTTTGATCCCCAATAGACCGTTTTCTCAAGGTTGCGTGCGCATACAAATTTAAGGAACTTGACGGGCCACGATACCAGAACRCGAGTATTATCGTGCATTGCTACGAATTTTTTTTCGATAAGGATTCTGAAAATCGATTATTCTCCCGCTCTTTAAATGTAAAAATGTCTTCTCAATTTTACTGAATTTGCATTTTTCAGTTTTGTGGCCCGTCAAGTTGGATGCGCACGCAACCTTGAGAAAATGGTCTATTGCATATACTTTGCATAAGTGTGATCTTTGTTATTTGCAGGGGAGAGTAGAAGTTCGATTCACCGACCTGTCCCAAAAGATTGACCTGGATAAGGTAGAATACCAAATGGTAGAGACAACGGCGTATTTTGAAGCCTATCGTCATGTTTTAGAAGGACTCAAAGAMATTCAACCTGAACAGCTTCCTTTCCAGGTAAGAGAACCTTTAAACACCTCACTCCTATGTTAACATTTTAGAAAATCACAAGTGTTTTGGTTTCCCTTCATAGCGAGTTAGTTTTCTAGTAAATTCAAGACTCAAACAACAAAACATTCTATTCGTCTTTTGATCAGACTTCTTTAAATTTAGCGTAATGCTTTTCCATTACAGACCACGTGTCATTCCCTAGAGTATCATTTCTTTGTTTAACGGTTGCGCATGAGAAGACACAAGAATATGAATACAACTCGGACAAAGAATCTTGTTCTGAAGAGAATAACACGTGGTCTGAAATGGGAAAACATTACGAGCAAGGTAACTGAAGATAGCCTAATCCAAAGTGCCAAGAATGGTGGCGAAGTTCCGAGACATTTTATCTCGTCAATCCCACATTTAACTTCACAGTGCACTTAGTTATAATGACGATAGCAAAATCAATCTTTCTGTTCTTTTATCTCATAGCGCTATATAGTGAGTTGTGAGAAAGATGTTGGATCTCCAGCGTACCTGACCAACAGAATGAGAGAAGAGGTGACCTATGACTTGACACCCATCATGAAGAAAGAAGCGACAAACAGAACGACAGATGAAGGAGCTGCAAG